GGGGGGGGGGACTCTTGAATATTTGTGTATGAAATAATTGAGCTAGGGATTTACAAACCTCTGAACATCATTTTCACTTAGCAACAATCTAGCGACTTTGCAAGCATGTTAGCATTAAAAGGAAGACATATATTACGCCTTAAATTTGGTTGTTTCATTTTGATGCAATGTAAGGATTTCATAAAACATCCGAAATCAGTTGTTCCATATTTTATTTATCTTTTAAAGCAAGCCCTGAGAAAAGCATCCCACGTTGTTAGTTTGCCGAAGTTAGTTGCGGTAGTTAAATTTTCTGACTTTTGTTTACGTGTTCGTTTTACAGAAAGAACAAGTTGCAACAGAACCGCCTCCTATGTGCTAGGATCCCTATTAGATTGAATCCCTTCTCCGCAAATCAGAGATAACTAGCCCAGACTCTGGTTTACTTGGAAGAGTAAGAATATTCTTTCCACCTGTTGGAAGATTACAAAAACCATTCACGGAAAAGGAAGGAAGGAGAAGGTACGAGAAAAACCACCAAAAAGACAGATTGCCTCTCACATCTTGAGATTTTTTTTAAAAAAACTCTTTCTATATAGAAGGCTGCAATTCATCCTGTAGCACAGTGGTAGCGCAGGAGGCGCTCACAACTTCTTTGGGCTGCTGATACACTCAGTTATGGAATTCTGAGAAGTTCATCCTAAGATCTAACCTCTAGCCTGTTTGGCCAAGCAAGCCCTCCCCATTTCGGTCAGGTCCAAGAAACTTCCCACTCACCCAATAGGAGATAAACGAGCCCATCCAGCCCTACCACTCCAGCATCCAGTCCGTAGCCCCACAATCTCAGACCTGCCCGCCTCACCTTCTCCCAAGACGCTGGAGCCTGAGATTTAACCCCTTCTGGCCTCAGAAGGAACAGGGAAGACTAAAGACAACGCACCCATTGCGTCTAGCAATTCTGTTCCCCAAGGAAACGAGAGCTTTAGAACGAAAAGTACCAGCCACCTCGCGCAAGGACTAAGTGAACATCCCAATACCTGTTTGTAAGGAAATCTGTAAAAATTGCCTGAGTTTCCGCCTTACATCCCACCTAACCTGCTAGTATAGAAGTGCGTGGGGTTTTACTCCAGGCCTGACCCTTCCAGTCTCGGAGAGCTTCCGCGGGACTCAGATGTCTAGGCCATTGTAGTCGCTGATAGAGATATCGATGAGTTCTTAAACTCAGGTTTAGAAAGGAAACACTTTCTGGGGCAAGTAAAAAGATAGCGTTTCCTCCCATAAATTAGTAGCATTCTCCTGATTCCTAGTCACTGGTCACAGCTCTGAGCAAAGCACCACAAGTCCTGTCTTAATTGCAGGAGTGGGCGGGTGGAGGGCTCGATATTCTACCCATTGCGCCTGGCGCTCAAGCTGCTAAGGTACTCGGGCCTGGACAGTTCAGGCAAGGAGCGGGAGGAGAGAGGAGGTGGAGGAGATGGCGTCTCAGCCGCCACCTCCCCCGAAACCCTGGGAGACCCGCCGAATTCCAGGAGCTGGGCCGGGGCCAGGACCCGGCCCTACTTTCCAGTGAGTGTGGGATTCTTCAGGCTGTGAGTTTGGTGGGTCGGAGCGGGATTTGGCCGGAGGCGGTTGAGGCCGTTGTTGGGGGGCGGTATCATCCCCTCCCCCTCTGTCCTCCCCCAACGTTGGGGATGGAGGCCCAAGGGAGGGCTGGGGCTCTTACTGTGAGGATTTCGATGCCTGAAAGCTGTTTCTGACCCGACAGCTTTAGGCAGCGACGTTCGGGAGTTCCTGGGTGCCTCTGGGTCCCAGTGTTTGGAAGAAAGGGTGGCAGCTTTCTGTCTCTTTCTGTTTGGGAGACACTGAGACAACTGCTTGATCGCCTTTAAAGCTTTAAGACTTTCGGTCTGTAGCACTGGCGAGCGGAGTGTGCCCAGCCTTGGCATCAATAGGGAGCAAAGTCTTTCGTAAAAGCTGTTATCAGTCTCTCGTGAAGTTGGTGAAAGCTCAAAAGGTTTTACGCAACTGGAACTCAAGCGTATGTGCTTTGTGTTCTTTTCTAGCATAATTCAGTTGATTGTTTCGGATTTGGAGACGCAACTTTAAAGCAGGAGGTCTAAATCTCAGGCCGATAGATGGCCTTATTGTGCAAAATAGTGTATTTTTCTGAGGCCTATCGGTTTTGTTTTGTTTTTAGTTAGTATCCAATGGTTCTACATTTTAACAAGGTTAAAATATACAGAGATAGAAGAGTTTCAAGGCCTCGTGTATTTTGTGTTTAATCTGGACATCTTAATTCACACGAGACTCGCCTGTTAAATCACCTGAGGTTATCCTAAGGCTTAAAAATCTCAAATTTATTGGAGCATACTGATGTATTCTGAAATCTTTTATTAAACGTTGAAGTATTCTAACACGGTACTTAAGTTAATGATGATAAAGACGTAACAGATAATAAGCTTTAATGAGTCTGTTAAGGCAGGATGACGTTTTCTGCTACCTTTTTATGAGTGTTTTTCTTTTTTTTTAATTTGGACTGTTGGTTGGACAAGAGGTTTTATTTCTGTTTATGTAAAATTAACCATTTCCCCACTTTTTTCATTAGGAACTGTTTAAAACACATAGCGATTAATAGTAAGATAATACATGTATTCACCACTCAACGTTAAGAAATATTAACATGTGCCAAATTTGCTTCAGATTAAAAAAAAAGTAAACCTTCCCATTCTTTCTAGTGGTAACTGTTGTTCCTGTTTCGATGTTTAGTGCACCCAGTGTTTTAATACTTCAATACTTATGTTTGTGTCTATTATATATATAATATTTAAAACTTAAAAACAACTATGGGCTGCGCCTGTGGCTTAGTGGGTTGGGCGCCAACCCCATGTACCGAGGGTGGTGGGTTCGAACCTGGCCCTGGCCAAACTGCAACAAAAAATAGCCAGGCGTTGTGCCGGCTGCCTGTAGTCCCGGCTACTCGGGAGGCTGAGGCAGGAGAATCACCTGAGCCCAGGAGTTGGAGGTTGCTGTGAGCTGTGATGCCAGGGCACTCTCCCCAGGGCGATAGACTGAGACTCTGTCTCTTAAAAAACAAACAAACAAAAAAAAAAACCCTTAAAAACAACTAAGTAAATTATTTGTGTATTTTTTATATATTTTTCTTTTTTTGTTGTCCACTTTTCTATGGCTTATCAATTTGTAAGAATATTGTTGTTAATCCTTTTTAAATTTTTTTTTGTTTTTATTAAATCATAACTGTGATATGTTGATGTACTTATGGGGTTCACTGAATTGATATACAATGTGAAATGCTTACATTGACGTGATTAACACATTCATCACAATTATATTCTTTTCTTAATAGTTTTGAAATGTACCATTGCTTCGTGCACGTTAGGTGAGGTCCCCCTAAATACCCTCCTTCTTTCCCTTTCCCCTCCCCTTCCTCTCCTCTTCATCTCCAGTTTCTGGACTATAGTTATGTTTTACCATTTGTATGAATGTGTGGGTGATTATATATTGATTTCATAGTGGTATTGAGTACATGGGATATTTTTTTTTCCCATTCTTGAGGTACTTTACTAAGAAGAATATGTTCCAGCTCTATCCAGGTAAACATAAAAGATGTGAAGTCTCCATCTTTTATGGCTGTATAATATTCCATGGTGTACATATATCACAATTTATTAATTCATTCATTCGTTGATGTGCACTTGGGCTGTTTTCATGTCTTGGCAATTATGAATTAGGCTACAATAAACATTCTGGTGCAAATGTGTTTGTTGTAAAATGATTTTTGATCATCTGGGTATATACCTAGTAGAAGAATTGCAGGATGATAATCCTTTTTTGTTTGTATATGTTGCTAATATCTTTCACTCTATGGCTTATCTTCTTTGTATTTATATTCAATTTTTTTGGTACAGATGTCTTAAATTTTAATACAGCCAACATTGTCATGTTTTTGTTGTGCTTTTTGTTGTGGTTAAGAAGTCCTTTCTACCTAGATCAGGAAAATGATGTTTTCCTTTAAATGTTCTGTTTTTCACATTTATATCTTAGTACACCTGAAACTGACTTTGTTCTACAAAAGGCAACTTGAAGTATGGAATCTTAATTTTTTTTCCCATATGGATAACTAATTGTCTCAACACAATTGAGTAGTCTATTCCATCCTAGCTTAGAATGCCATCTATCTCACATCAAGTTTTCCTAAATGTCTGAGCCTGTGTTAGGCAGGTTCTGACATGTTCTATTGGTTGGTCTATTTGTCTTAATTACAGAATTTTACGATGTTTTGGTATTTAGTATGTCAAGAGTCTCCATACATTGCAGTTCTTCAAAATTGCCATTGTTACACTTAGCCTTGTAAAAAGGCTTACTGAGCTATTTACTGTAACTTTGATAATTTATAGATCAAGTGTCTTTCCATCCATAAATATTATATAAGTTACAGTTGGTGAGAATTTTGATCATCTTTTTTACCTTAAATAATGTTTTATGATTATCTTCATGAAGTTTTTTCCCCAGCCTTTATTTTTTGTTCCTAGATTCTTACATTTTCCACTTGATTATTAACTGATGTGTCAGAATGCTGTTGGTTTTTAAAAGCTATATAAATATTATGTACAGCATAATGTCACACTCTTAATTTGTTCTAATGGTTTGGTTTAAATTTTCTCATGTTCTATGTAGACAATTCTGTCATTTGCAAATAAGCTAGCAGAGATAGCCAGCATCTTTGTTTTGGTCCTGATTTCCATTGGAACGGTTCTGAAGTCTTAACTGTTAAGTATGATGTTTACTTTTTGTTTTTGATAGATATCTCACCAAACTTCTGTTTTTCTGTTCTTTTCTTTTCTTTTTTTTTTTTTTGAGACAAGAGTCCTACTACATAGCCCTCAGTAGAGAGTGCTATGGTGTCACAGCTCACAGCAACCTAAAACTCTGGGGCTTAAGCGATTCTCTTGCCTCAGCCTCCCAAGTAACTGGGACTACAGGCACCCACCACAACATCCGGCTATTTTTTTGTTGCAGTTATCATTGTTTAGTAGGCTCAGGCTGGGTTCGAACCTGTCAGCCTCAGTGTGTGTGTCTGGTGCCCTAACCACTGAGCTATGGGCACCAAGCCCAAACTTCTGTCTTTCTAACTTGCTCAGATTGTTACAGAGAAAGTGTTAAATTTTATAAATGGCTTTTCTGCATCTGTTGAGATAATTATATGTATTTATTATTATTTTTTATTGCATTAA